AAGAACCACTGATCTATAGTAATATGAAACAAAAAGATTTTGAAAAGAAGTCATTATTTCTGGTCACAGTGTCTATTGTACAATAATACTGCCTTGATTTTTCTTCTTTCACAATCCACATTTTCTTCTTCTATGTGCTATGTCCCTTCAAGACATAAACGGTCATGGTTCTTCAAAACATCCTATCCTTTGTTGCTCTTAGCAGTTTAACTTTTTTTGCTAAAGCCCAATATGTCCTGTGAGGGTCAGGTTTTCCAAGCCCTTCTTCCTAAATTATGTGTCCAAGAAATTTCAATTGTCTATTCTTAACCCTGACTTTACGTGTTTTTTGTTGCTATTTTCTTTAAAACTTTCTTGCTACTTACTTGGTCTGTCCATGGAATTCTCAATATCCTTCCCAGTGACATAGCTAGAGCAGGGCAGAGAGGGTGACCACCCCAGTTGGCACTTTTAAGGGTGACGACACTTTGTGTCAGTATAGGCTCTATTGAAATAAAAGTGTTTTTAATGTTGGGATAGTACTCACAGATGAAGGATCTTTTTGACTTCGAGTAACTTAAACTGTAGCATGTATATTGGCCTACCTATTATCTATAAAGTGACAATTGACAGATGAAATAGTTTTTGACTATGTCATTGAAGAATTTGGCAACAAAAGAAACAATAAAAGTTACTTTGTAGAAAGTTGTAATTTTCATTTTAGAATTAAAGATGGTCCTGGTTTTTTACACCTTTCCTCCATATGTTCTTTTTGCTTTTTAACTGTTACTGATAAAGTCTAAGTATGTTTGGTGTGTATTTAAAGTGCTACAATAGTTGAGTATGTGAAAGTAATATCATGATATTCAAACGAGTTTTATAACTTTAAGAGTGCATCACTATACAAATATGTATCTTTTGACTTGAGGGCACACACTCTAGCTATGCCATTGATCCTTCTGTAGAATCACATTTCTGTTACCTCACTCTTCTTTTTATCTATGGTGAGATTATCTGGTATTCACTGCCATATAGAGGATGGATATCACAGAAATCTAGCACTCTAAGTTGTATAAAACTATTCTCAACATCTGTGGTTTTACTCTATCAGCTGGTGAAAACAGTATGTGGTGGTATGTTGATGTGTTTCCTTATACCAAGAAAAACAAAATTGAATAACTATTCATAATAAGTAGAATAGGTTAAGAAGAGACAAATGGGTATTGATTCTTCACAGGCACAAGATTAATTCTGTTCATATAACTAGATTCTACATTATAAAACTAAATTCATGGGTTGCAGAATTAATTTCAACTCAAAACTAATTTCAACTTGGCTACAAAGAACATTGTATTTTTATTGGATCAGATTTAAATGAATAAAAGTAAATAGAAAAAGTAACACTTTATTCATTTGCAACAAAAAAAAAATAAAAGTTGCTGAAAAGATGAATTCTGAATTATCTTATCTACTAAGGACTTTTAATGCTAAATTAAAAAATTAACACCAAAACATTGCATTTTGTTTAGGAATTCACAGAAATTGATAACTTTGATTTTAAATCGAATTGAAATTAATTCCGAGTTGAAATTAGTTTTGAGTTGAAATTAGTTCTGTCACTCAATTCATGTTACCAGGTATGTGTGTAGTGAACAGGGCTTGCAAAATTGTAATGAATAAGTTGCTGTTGGTCACCAAGTTGTAGTGGAAGGAGTTACTATTTGTTACAACTGAGGCAGAAAACTTTCAAAATAAATTAATTCAACACAAGGAGAAACTTTATATATATATTTATATAGAGAGCACCATAAAAAAAGATGAGATTGACTGATTTATTTTTGATGATTTATCAACCCTTTGTGGGCACTTATTTTTGATTGTAAGAACATTTCCTTTTTTGCAAGTGAATATTGTACTAATAATTTTTTGGAGGTTAACAATATTTTTCCAAATATATTCCTACTATTTAACCCATAGCTGAATGGAGAAGAGATAGATTCATAACTTTCCCAAGGATATTTGTGTGTAAGTGAATGTAACGAATTTGACCAGAATTTGAACTTGGCCCTCCGATTTCTCATTCTGAGCTGCTCTCAATTACAGTGCTTACACATTCACAAAAGAAGAGGAAGGGAAAGTTAAATTTACATGCATATAGATAGCTCAAAAAAGAAACAAAAATATTTATGTACTTAGCTGTAGTGTGCGCGTGCTTGTGGGAACCACGTGGCTGGTTTGAAGTTTAGATAGTCAGCTGTCCAACAACTAAGTTTTTCAGCAGAGTAGACTTAATGTGCCTGCTACCTACCACATCCTTTTTCTGAGGGAGTAAAAAGGAGAAAGTGGAAGTGAGTACTTTTCTTTTATACCACTGATACAGTGCCACCTAGTGGATGTCTTGACATAAAAAGTGGGGATAATACCCACATGTGACAAGCCAAGACAGAACTTAATTCTTATCTCTTATTTTTCTTTTTCTAGATAGCTAATAGCCAATATAAAAGACTAATTTTTAAAGTATGACTTCAACCCTATATGTATTTACCAGGGTGCTCATGTTGCAATTGGATGTGATACCAGGTCAAGGTTTAAAATGGGTTTAATGGTCATACCATGGAAAAATTGCTCAAGCCCCTTTGGCACTTCCTCTTTTGGGGAAACCTCGGGTGCTTCACAACAAATTCAACCTCCACCTGAGGGAGAGGTACTGACTGAGAAGAAGGCCCCTTAGAGCTTGGGCTTAGAATTTAAAGAAGATAAAAGATCCTAGCCAAAGGCCAGAATACTTCAACCCTATATCCATATTGTGATATAATTAAGATTATTTTAGATTATTTTAACTGTTTTTTAACTGAGAGAAGAGTTATTGCAGTGGAAAGTTTGGTGGTTACCATTTATTTAATGGGGTTGACAGCCCAAATCAATCCATACAATTTTTTACTCCATGAATACGTTAAGCAAAATGCAAAAACAACAAGAAACATTTGTGATAAAAGACAAAAGGCAAATATTTGAATAATAAGTAATTTTCAATATATTTTTGTAATGAAAATTTTTTACAAAAATGTAGCGGATTTTTTTTAGGTGAACTCTTGTTAGTTTAATTTATGTTGAACTCAAGTTTGGTGAAAGATTAAATTTTTTTAATGAGTTCTGATTTGAAAGGATGTTTGTTAGAATCTGTTATTGAAGATTCTGTAAATTAATTGCAAGAGAAAAATTTACATTTAAGAATTTACTGTTCATGTAAGTAGTAAATGTTTGTAAAGTTGAATGCAATTTTGTGATCAAAGAAGTTATCTACCTTTGATTGTTTTGCGTAATACAATGTTCTCGAATGTTGAGAAATAAAGTTGATTTGCTAGCAAGAATTTGTTTAACTTCTGTGTAAGGAATTTGTAGAGTGAATGGGAATAGAGTTCACTGGTGAGTGAGTGTGAATATCGTTAAGTTTGTATAACGTTCGTATGGACAAAGAACTTAAGATTGTGTGACGTGAAGTTTAGTTGCAATTCGTTTGATGTCACAATTCTCACTGGCAAGTGTGAATGCGATTCTGTTTTTATTTGCTTCGAGTGGTTCACAGAGTCTTGGTGCAAACTTGGATTTCAGTTACGAGCTGTAAAAATTAGTTAAGCGTGGGTGGATAGTCATGCCTACTTGTATATTTATTAACCAATGAGGGCTCAAGATTTTTTTGAAAGTGTATGAAGTTGAAAGTGTTCTGTGATCCACTGTTTTGCACAGATTTGACCAAACTATTTTTAGGTATTGGAATAATGTAGAATTTGGGTTCTACAATATCAAAAACCCAGTATAAATACCCTTAGGCCTTAATTTGCAGGAAGAATATGCATGATAACCACAGATGTTTAAGAATGTGCTGACATTATTCTCTTTGTACAATGGGAATGTACTGTTAAAAAGTGAGATCTCCAGTGTTTAGGCTTTTCTTAATTAATGTTATAACATTAACCTTCAACCAATTAACATCTATTTTATAATTTCACTTTTGATTTAGTAAATTGAAACATTTTAACCAATTAAAAAACATTGCATTATTTAAAATATTTCAATAAATTTTACATGTAACTGTTGAAAGAAAAGTACACTTGGATGTTTATTGTTTATTTTATTGTTTAGATTTATCAAATTTTAAAAATAAATAATCTTTTTATTAAAATTGATAATTTAAAAAGTGAAAATATTACAATATTTTGTTAATAAAAAATGCTTTAAATCACTGAAAAAAAGTTAGAAGAATTTTTTTCGTTTTGATTTTTAAGCAACTTAACGTTAAAAATTGTTTATATTTTGTTAATATTTACAAGCGTTTTTTTTTTCTGAATTTGGAGAAGACGGAATTAAAATTTTAACAGTTTCAACCAAATTTTTAATTGCAATTTGTAAATTTTCACCATTAAAAAAGTCTACACGTTAAATGTAGGCGGTGATTTTTTTTTTTTTACTTCGTGGTAATTATTTATTTTTACTCAGAGAAAACAAACAAAACAAGGGAAATGTTGCTAATGTACAGTTGTATATACACAAAAAAGTTTTGCTTCACTTAATAAAAGTAAATTATTGTGAAATATTTTCTGGTTTAAATTTCTTTTTTTTATTTCTAAAATATATTTTTTATTTTCTAATTATTAAAAAATAATATTTTGGTAAATAAATAAAATTAAAAAGCAGCTAAACTTTGCTTTAATAGTAGACTTTGGGTGCGAGATCAGTTTCAGGAAATTGCTCGAGTGTAAGGGGGAGAGTGATGCAATAGTAAGTCGAAAAGAGAGAAAAAGATCCAAAGATGGGAGATTTAGAGAGGGGATGCTTCGCTATGTCAATTAGGGAGGAACGGCGAGATAGAGAGCGTCAACAAATGACGATTAGAGAGGAAGTTGAAATCCATTTACTGCGGACCAGTTATTTCAGGTGCCGAAATTTTGTGTGGCTGTCCCAAAATGGCGGCTGATGCTGAGAAATCAGTGCGATCGAGTAAGGTGGAGAATTGTCAACAGATGCTTTCTCTCAACGAGATGTTCCACTTGGTCGGGGACAGGCTCACCCCGAAAGAGGTAGTTTGCTTGAGGAGAAAAGGACTTTCAGATGCCGAAACATCTTCGAGCAAAGGTACAGCAAGTTGCTCTAATGGAACAGATAGCGAAGTCCAAAAATGTGATAATCCTAATAATAGCAGCAGACCCCATCGTTCTTCTCACCAACACAGAACGGGGGCAGCTGGTTCAAGTGACCCTCATCAACAAACGTCTTCAAGGCCCAGGGTGGCTGATGAGACTGACCAGAGGTCATTGATGAAAAAAGTCAACGATGGTTATGATTATTTTCTTGCCCTAGAAAGGGCCGGTATGGTTGATGGAACGAACTTTGGCAAAATACTTCAAGCCCTTGCTATCACTGGTCGACAAGACCTTCTTCCCTACGTGACTCTACGTCGTAGGAAAACTGGTGAGTTATGTATAGTAGCAACAATATGTATTTTCGTGATAGTTAAAAAAAAAAAAAAAAATGAGCCTATTCCATTATTACTAAGCCACCCCCCCCGCACCTAGGGGAAAAGTGGTGGGTACGTCTAGAAGCTAACTCCCAACTACTGATAATGGCTTGGCAGAATTAACCTTATGTAATAAAAAGAATCTCCAGAAAAAGAAAAATCTCTTATTTGATGTAGAATTACTTTTCTCTAACTTGCTAATTTTGTTGTAAAAAATAAAAATTTGAGCATTCCTAAACTAATTTTGGGACAGTAAAAAAAAAAAAAAAAAAAATCACAAAATCATCTAAAAAAAAACAAAAAAAAAACTTAGTAAATTATAGCCAGCAGGCTTTAAAAAAATCCGTTTATGTATCTAGTTCTGTTAAAAAAAATGCAAAATTAACCCAGAGGTTTAAAATTCCTATTGATGTAATTATTGTGTAAGTAAATTCTTTGTGCATAAATCTTTCATTAGCAGCCTGATCTCTGGTAAATTGTTACTAAGACACATCTTCATTTTTATATTTGTTATACACTGCTGCTACTAAAATGCTTCAAGCCCACAAGAAGAGTAAAAATAATAACAACACTATAGTTAAATGGTGATGATGTTGCTACTATATCATGGTTAGGAAAAATAGACTTAGATGTATCTGTTGTAGTTAAATTCTAACCAAAAATATTTAATAAGAATTTGTCATGTCATGCATTGGGAGAGTGGTAAGGGTGTTAAAATAACTAAACTTAATAAGTAAAGGAATTGTATTGTTGAATAATCCATATGATCTAGTAAAAATACATTCATTTAGAATCCCTTAAATGATATGTTGCCCCCCCCCTTTTTTTTTTTTGCAATAAAAATACTTATTTGCTTTTTTGAGCCGATGATTGTCTGTGCCTGGGGACTTGAAGTAAAATCTGTATGTACTCAGAATATACATTTTTTTAATTTTTTATATTGTATGTTTTGTGTACACATATTTCCCCTCTAATTTTGCAATTTATATAACATTGTACAATTATTGTGAGGTTTCCACAATAAAATAATAAATTTATAAACTTGTTGGAGATCTAAATCTGATATTTTTGTCATTATGACGATTCTTTTGATGAATAGCTTCTCCACTAACGTTTAAAATTAAATACAAAATAGGGTTTTTTTTTTGTTTTTTTTTTGCATTATATAAAAAATTGTTTTTTCTTTTTCGTATTTGCTTTTTTTATCGTATACGTCCGATATAACTTGGATCATGCAAAATATAAAATTAAAAAAAAAAATGGTATGAAAAAACATTTCTATATATAAAAAAATCTTTGCAGATTTATTTATTTATTTTTTTAAATGTTATCGTAAAAATGTCCACACGGATTGTATTCCCATGCTAAAGTGCCCTTTACTGCTATTTTTTTTTTTTTTTTTTTTTTCAATTTATGATTTTTATAAGGAAGCTATTTTCATCCATGTTGTAATCATGTAATCTTTGATAAGAAGACAAAAATGGAAAATGTATCGCGTTTTGTAGATTTTTTGTAGACATTTTTAAGCACATATGCACCTTTCTTGGGTTTTAATAAATCTAATTTTCAGTTTAAGAAATTAACCTTACCCCCCCCTTTTTTTTAAAAAAAAACATTTTTTGACATCAAGGATATACAAAAAAAAGCAAATTTTAATTTTTTTTTCTATTGTTAGAAATAGATACATTCGTTTTAAGATATTTTTTTTGTCTTCAAATGAACATTTTTTTTTAATATTGTTTCATTTAGTGCATTATTTTTAAAAGATATGATTTAGAACTTGTTTTAAATTGGGAACTTTCATTTTTAGTTCAAGATTTTTCACCTTTACTTTCCATTTTGTAATTTGCCCCAACTAAGCAACTTTATGCTTTTTTGTTTTCATTTTCCTTTCTTTTTTTTAATTTTTAAACTTGTTTCTATTATCATTTTTATTTCTTCTTATTTAATTAATTCATGTATTTTAATTTAAACTTTTGTCAAAGTAACCTTAATTCATTTCGTCAGACACTGTTGAAATGTTTTTCACATTTTTTTTTAAACACGGACATAAACCAATTCAGTTCAACCTACATTTTTTTCGTGTTTTTACTTTAAGTTTATTTTTAGCTTTTTATGTAATTCTTAGGAATAATCCTAAGTTTCTTTTTAATTTTATTTTTATTTTTTTTTGTTTATTGCTAAAAAATGGTTTACTTTATGCAAAGATATCCATCTTCGTATTTCTGGAAACCTATTACCGATGTAAGTATCGAAGAAAATGCTTTGGGGGAAAAAGTTCTTTGTTTGACAACGAATTTATGATCATCACAAAATATTAAAATAGAAAGATATTTTGTAAGAAATTTATTGTCGAGTTTAGCGACTCAAACAATTTTCGCATACTAAATAAATACTGAACTACTTCCTTTTATTGCTTTATATAGCCTCATATTCTGAGTAACCTCCCCCCCCCCTCATAAAAATAAAATAGAATTTATTGTCCTATTTGAGACTTTTTTTTCTTCTGCATTATTTCATATATGACGATGAGAACAGTTTTTGTTGCCTAGTACATTTTTTTGTTCTGTGGCTTCCGTTTTTCATGGTTCCCTCAGAGCTTGCTACATTTACTTTTTGCATTGAATCATGTGGACCCACAAAAATTATTACTCGTGATTAATCTACCACCTAAGTTGCCAGACTTTAGAAAACCAATATATGAATTTATTTCACGGGGTGGGGGAGGGTTAAATAGTTAAGACAGCATCTGAGAATATTGCCTTTCGGACACTATTTTTCGTTTTTCTGAGTGATGTATTCGATCTCTTGTATTTTAAATTATTTTCGTTTTACAAAAATCATATTTGTCACAATAAAATAACGTTTCACTTTATGGGGGAAAATATGTAGCTAGATACAGTAATCTCAGAGAAGTAATTAATTATAATATTTGGTATGCAAAAAAAATTTATTTCAGACGCTAAAACTCTACGATATCCGAAATTAATTCCTCCCCGCCTCCCGTTTTATCCTCTCTCCATATACACACAAAAAGCTAATAGTAATGTTGGAATTGTCTTGTGTAGTAAAAAACAAAAAAAAAAAAAGTAATTAGAAAGGAGATATATTTTATTACACACCATGTAAAATGTAGTTGTTAAATTAGGCATAATTTTTATTTTATTTTTCTCAGGGTTGTTTTCTTGGAACAAAAGTTGTAATTAAGGAAATATGAAAGCATTTACTAGCTCTAGACCCTAGAATTTTCAGTTGATTAAAAGAAAATTGTCATCGTTTTGTTGAGCATTTTATGATTTTACAACAATGAGGTGAGGGAGTATGATTGCTTTGGGAATGTTTGGACACACTACAGAGTTGTGCATCCATTAAATGTTCTTATTAGTGACAACTTCTTCACTTAGTCCTTAACCTTTTTCTAGTACTACTTATGTACTTTGAAGGTGATTGGGGGGAACTTCAGATTGGAATCCATTGAGTAAAATGCAACAATTAAGCATTGTCCTCTGTAGTCAGTAAGATAGTCTCACAAACAATTTGGTCCTCACTGGGCATCACTTGTTAATAAACTAAACTTGATCCTTGAAAAGTGTCTGGATGTTATATAAGTTAATAAGGTTTGAATTGTATTTTGTCCTTGTGCTTTTTTATTTATAATATTGTCTACTTTGTGCTCAAATCATGACTGAATTGTACATTTCGACCCTGTCAAATTCTCCTGGAGTCAGAAGTTATTCTTACAGTTGATACAAAGTTTATACAGAAGTTCAAAGTTGATTTGGGTTGGAAATCATGCCTTTCAAGCCAATTGTTGAGAAGTGAAACAGGATATGCCATTTTGCGGAGGAGTGTACTTTCAACTGCCCTATGACTACTGTTAGCAACCTTCAGAGAAGATGATGAATAAACATAAAATGTTCTGCTTCAGGATAGACATTTGTTTTAGTTTTGTCTATTTCACAAAACTTGATCCATACTATAGAATAATCTTCTGCAATGTGATCTGGATTGTATATATACAATCCAGATCACATTGCAGAAGGTAGTTTAACTGTTTTCTTTTCTCTGGCACTTGATTGTTTAGTTTCATTATCTTTGTGTTATCAATACTGTCTTGGTTCTTTATTGTTTCTTTAAGCATTTCATCCCAAGCAAGGCAATAAAAACCACTAGAAGAGGATGGAAGAGGTAACTGAGTGTATGTGGAGGGGAAATGGAGGATGAGGACAGGATTGAAAGAGGCAAAAGATGATGATTGCCATTGCATTTAAATTTTTGGAGATCATAGTTGACAGGCAAGCAAGGAGTGCAATAGAAGAAGCTATTAACATAGGACTTATGGTTACAACTAGTAATTTGAACAATGAAAGTCTAGTACTGTGCTTGAATTTGTGAAATTGAAATATCAACAAGGAAAGTTCATCAGAAGAGTTATCTTGAAGATATTTATAGAAGGGGGTAAAGAGAAGCTACATTATGATGGCAGGACAAATAATGCTGCTGATTATTTGAATTTTGTCAAGAATCTCTAGATACATAACAGGAGTACCAGACCAGATGTTGTAACAATATTTGAAGAATGGTAGACTTATAAATGTGCAAGATAGATTCTGGTGAAAAAAATTGTCTAACATGATGTAGTGAATGGACTTAACAATTAATTCAATATAACCATTCCACTTCACATCAGTGGAAAACCTTTTTTAAAGAATTATTTCATATTTCTTTTCTAAGCATTCTAAATACGAATATGTTGCTGTCAATGGAATGTGCTGTTTTTACACTAGCTTTAATAGTTTTGTATTTACTAGAATTTTTATTTCATAATTGGTACTTTATTTACATCATTCAGACTATTGTTGCCATATTTATTACAATGTTTCGGTCGTCGTATGCTCCGGCTCTCTTCAGGTGGTTGGAATGTCGAACTGAACCCTTTATTTCGCTCACTGGG